ATATATATATAAAGTTTAAAGATGACCAAAAAATGATGTATTATTGAACTGAATTTTCTTTCAATCTTCAAGGCGTTTGTCTGAGCGTCGAGGTTCATCAAACTCCTCCGGCAGCTTTCAGAAAACCTGGACAGGACATGCAGATGGTCTGCAGCCATGGAAAGACCGACTACACGCTCATGCAGTGGTACCATAAATCCCCCGGAGACGAAGCGCTGAAGCGCATTGGACACTTGAACTACGGCAGCAAAGAAATTGAAAATCCTTTTAAGGGACATTTTAATTTTACCGGAGACTTGAGTGGAGAGACGGCGAAGAACGCCTCTATGATAATCACTGACCTGAAGCCTGAACACACTGCGGTGTATTACTGTGCAGCCAGCTATGCACAATGACAGCAAAGCCAGTGTTGTTCATACAAAAACTCAGGCCGGTTTCAGCTGAAGTCATTGGGTTATGTTTGAATAAGCCCCGCCCACTTCTTGATTTAATGCCGTCACTTTTTCTCTCATAGTTCAGTCGACTATTAGAATCAGAATCGCAGTCTGACAGTATTTGTTACATTCTTAAGATTTAATGTCACCAATCGGGTTTTAACATGATCTGTTTTCTCCTTTTTTGTATCATAACAGGTATTCACTTGTGAACAGGAGCAAATTTTGAACAAATTCCTCACATTTCGAGATAATTTATCGATCTTTGTTGCCTTCCAGGTGCTGCTTTCGGCCTTGAGGTCCATCAGTCCCGCTCCGACCTCATCGTGAAACCTGGAGAAAAAGTTCACATCTTCTGCACTCATGAGAAAACAAACTTCTGGATAATGCTCTGGTACCAGCAGCCGCCTGCAGACACGGCTTTGAAACTAATTGGACATTTGTACACAAGCAGCATCAAGATGGAGGATGAAGACGATCAAAACATCCGAATCGTCGGAGACTTGAGCGGCAGCACAGCAAAGAATTCCTCTCTGGTGATCAACATGGTGGAACAGAAACACACGGCCATTTACTACTGCGCAGCGCAAGAAGCACACTGATGAAGAATCCTGCCTGTGCTTTACAAAAACTGCTTTATCATCATCATCATCCTCAGTGGTTTAGCAGAAGAATTTGGGGGAAAAACTGCTCTCAAGCACCTGCTTCTCTGTTTTTAATTGAGCGTCTTCATGCTAAAAAGTGACACAGTTTCATTAAAAAAGAAAAAAAAATGCCAAAAAACAAAACTTGCCCATGGATAGTAGCTAATAAATTAGAGCTAAGCTTTCCAGAGAATTAGGTTAATAAAAGTTTATTCTAAATTTAAAAAGTAGAGTGAGATTACTTTTTCACAAAGGTTCATGTAAGGCTGAGTTTTACCCCTTAAAAATAAAATCAACATACAAAAATTACATTTGGTATTGTCTCTGGTTATTTTTGTTTGACATTAAAATGAGTTTGTCGTGAATGTATAAAATCATATTTTGGTTACAGACACATGTGAGGTGATTTTATGTTGTGTTGCTGTTGTTTAATTGGCTTTTTGAGTTGAAAAGTTAAGGATTATGTTAAATCTTGATGAATAACACACACTAGTTTTTAAGGGTCTATCTCAAATGATTTCATTATTTTAGAAATCACTGAATGACTTAGCACCAAAACACATTAAAGATTTGCTGTTGTTGTATCAACCTTCCAGTCCTCTCAGCTCTTCTGTTCTGCACCTCCAGAACCAGAACCAAACACTGAGAAACAGCATTCAGCTTCTATGCATCACAAATCTGGAACAAACTTCCAGGAAACTGTAAAACTGCCGAAAGGATGAGTTAATTAAAATCCTTTTTGATGATGCCATTTGACAAAACATAATGTTTACTGCTTGTTTCAAAATGGGCAACTGTGTGAAGATTTTGTAATGTAAAAGAAATTTTAATTGTCTTGATGCTAAAATGTGCAATATTGTATTCATTAGTGTTGCTCTGTTCATACACTAAGTTTGTCTTTTCCTCATTTTCAAATCTGAATATATATTTGTTGATAATCAAATTATCCAAAGGCATGTCATTTGGTTTTTAAGAAAACATAACAGTTCTCCTTAAACAATTTTAAAAAAATTAAAAATCAAAAAGAATTTATTAAAATATTTCAGTCTGGTGTTCACTGTATACAGCTCTGGAAAAAAAAGAAGAGCCGCCTGCACTGAAGCCCATTGAAAACCTTCTGGTTATTCCACCTAATATTGATTCTTTTCCTGAGCTAAAAAAATCAGTATTATTGTGTCTAAATGAATATGAACTTGTTTCCTTTGCATGAGGTCTTAAAGCACTGCATCTTTTTTGTTATTTTGTCCATTTCTCATTTTCTGCAAATAAAAACTAAAGTTTTGCTTGAATTTCAGAGACGTTGTCAGTAGTTCATAGAATAAAAGAGCAACATTCATTTTACTCAACCATGTACCTATGAAATCAGATACTGATCATTTTGCAGTGGTCTCTTAATTTTTTCCAGAGTGTATGAAGTGACTCCACCCATCTGGTGACATCACAGTGATGAAGAAACACCAACAACTGACACAGAATCAGTTCACTTGTGCATGTAAAACAAACTCTCCTCATCTCAGCGAAAATGATTTTAATTATTTTTTGCCATTTCCTCACAGGTACCAGCTACTTTATTCTGGAATAACATGTAAATGTTCCTGCACCTCTTAAGTCACTAATCTGTAAAAAAAAAAAACTTTCACTGCAGCAGGTTTTTCTCTGGACATTCACGTCCATCAGTTTCCTCCGGCTCTCCTGGGAAGAGAAGGACAAAGCGTGCAGCTGGTGTGCAGCCATGAACACGGAGACCTCAGAGTGATGCTGTGGTACCGACGGCGGTCCGCCGAAGTCGCCCTGGAGCTCGTCGGCTACGGATACGTGGAGTTTAAAGACGACAGCGTCGAGGAGGCTTTCAGGCAGAAGGGCTTCAGCTTAGCAGGAGATCTGAGCGGAAACAACGCCAAGAACGGCTCGCTCTTCATCAGGAGCCTGAAGGCGGCCGAACACGAGGCCACGTATTTCTGCGCCGCCAGTAAACCCACAGTGGATCAAACATCCACCTGCTCCTGACAAAAACCTCTACGACTCTGCTCTCACTTCAGCCTACAAGGACTTTTGTATTTGGAAGAACAAAATGCAACTGAAGCGATTCCATCTGCAAACGGTGGAGATTTGAATAAGTGACACAAATGTTTTGTTTTGTGGGTTGAAGGTTGGAGCAAAACATAGACAAGACCTGGGAATGTGCCCAAAGTAGAGGATTAAAATTAATAATCATAATAATTCTGTTGTTTTTTTATTTTTATTTTATTTAGCTTTATTAGTTTTCTTAGAATGCATTTTGATCAAAGCATGTTCATGTAATCGAATGGCCCAGTTAAAGTCTAGACCTCAAGCCAAAATGAGAAACAATGTAACGCCGTGATATGAATTTAACAAGGCGGAGCCTGAACTCCTTGGAACAAAAATGTGAAAAAAGTTTAAGCAGTGTGAATAATTTTTCAGTTTTATACAGCGAGGTCACTTCCTGCTCCGCCTTCCTGCTCAGGAAGCTCTGCAGAGATCAGCAGGTCGCTCAGTTCCAACATGAAGCTTCATCACCTCACAGTGTGCATCGTCACTCTGTGCTGGATTGAAGGTATCCCTTAAATTTTCACGTCATTTTTGCAAAAAAACATATGTACTACATAATTCATTTTTAAACAGTTTATCTTTTTTTTTGTCCCACAGGCGTTTACCCGAGCAAAGAGAAACTTGTGTTTCAGTCTCCACCCGACCTCCTTCTGCAGCTACACGATGCAGCCAAGCTGACGCTGACGCACAAGATCCAGAGCTACGACACCATCCTCTGGTATCAGCGCTCACCGGGAGACTCTTCCCTGAAGCTGATCGGCTACATGTCTTATAAAAACCCAAACATCGAGGGCGGATTTGTCGGCCGCTTCGAAGTAAGCGGAGACGGAGAAAACACGGCTCATCTCCACATCCTGAACCTGACCGGCGCCGAGTACAACGGAGAATATCTTGGAGCGGCGAGTATGCACAGTGGAGAAGACGGCGGCGCTCTCATACAAAAACCCCCCATGAACAGCAGGAAACCAATAAAGCCACATGATGCCTGCAGAACAACGCCGGCACAATACAAACAGGTGTACAAAAAAATTAAAATGAAAACATCTAAATCTCAACACTCCAAACTATAACTGCACTCAAAGAGTGAAAGATTTAAATTTAAGTCAAGTTTATTTGTGGTGAACATTTCAGCAACAAGCCAGTTCAAAAGAGCTTTAAAATAATAAAAACAATTATTATAAAACAAGCAGTAAACATAGGCTGCACAGTGGCAGAGTTGGTAGAGCCATTGCCTTACAGCAAGAAGGTTCTGGGTTCAATTCCCAGCCCTGGTCTTTCTGCATGGAGTTTGCATGTTTTCCCTGTGCATGCATGGGCTTTCTCCAGGTATTCTAGTTTCCTCCCACAGTCCAAAAACATGTCAGGTTAATTGGCCTCTCCAAATTGCCCCTTGGTGTGCATGGTCTCTGTGTTGCCCTGCAACAGGCTGGCAACCTGTCCAGGGTGTACCCTGCCTCTCACCTGGAACGTTAGCTGGAGTTGGGCACCAGCAACCCTGCCGACCCCACTGAGGGACAAGGGTGCAAAGAAAATGGATGGATGGAAGCAGTAAACATCACATTTTGTCAAAGGCCAGAATCAAAATCATGTATGTCAATAAATGTTCCACTGTAGTGACTCTAAGAAGGTGGGTCTTTAGTCTATATCTAAAGGAAATCAGCTGTTTTGTAGTTTTCTGGGAGTTTGATCAAGATTAGAGGATCAATGTTGCTTCTACATGTTTGCTTCTAGGAATGCAGAACAGAATCAGAACAGAACCAGGAGCTGCTGGAGGGTTGGTGCAACATCAACAACAACAACAATAACAACAACAACAACAATAACAATAACAATAACAGATCTTTAGCATATTTTGGATGCTTAACTGGTTTGGTGCTTAAATAACTTAAATACATTCTAAGTCAGGAAAGAAATCAGCAGATTCTACTTCCTAATAGACGCGTCTCATTTAGTACATTAATTATGATTAATCAATGAGTTGAAAATCCTTTTAAAAACTTTTCAATGATAATTATCAAATTGAGCAGAAAGATGTGAAGGCAGATCAAGTAGCAAAGTTTTCTTTTTCCTAAAACAATGAATAAAAATAAAATTGATAAAATAAATGATTTAACAGGGGGAAATTAGGCACACAAAAGCAAAACAATTTAATAAGACAAAATAATCATACTAAACTTTGGATTTTTCCAAAAGTTTTAATTCTGTCTGAATCTAAAGTGAATCTAAACCCTGACCAGCAGAGGGCAGCAACAACACGTGGATGTGTTGATCCCTGTAAGCTCCTCCTCCTTTAAAACGTGCATTAAATGGTTTCCCTCCGGTTTGCTCTTTCACAATATCTCTGCATGTTTGTATTTTCAAACAAATTCTATAGACGGAAATTAAAAATAATAAAAAAATCTAAAATGTCAATCACTGTCCTGATGTTTCTGTTTTTGTTTGCAGGTGAGTAAGAAGATGAGTTCAAGTTTTCTAACAAACATTTATGCTACTTTAACTCTTATTTTATTTTATTTTTTTGTCTTGTAGACATCGTGGCGTCACAACCCATCATCCAGCAGTCGCCTGCCTCCATCCTGGTAGAGCCGGGACAAGCTGCCCATCTCCACTGTTACCACGGCGATAACAGCTATCCCTACATGCTCTGGTACCAGTCGGCGGCGGGAGGCGGCCGGCGGACCATGGACCTGATCGGACTGCTTCACTATGAAAACCAAAGTCCCGAGAAGGGCTTCGAGGGTCGCTTCAACATGACGGGTCATTCCAAAGGCAAAGCTCAGCTGATCGTCTCCGACGCCAAACCAGGAGACACAGCAGAGTATTTCTGTGCAGCCAGTTAACACAGTGCTGCATTTCCCCCGGCTGCTGCACAAAAACACTCCAGCTCACACCTGCATGGACTGAGAGATAAACGTCTGGTAAGAGGTGTGAATTAGACTGACATGACTGTCATAAACATGAAGGAGTCTTTATGAATGTTTGACTGTTGTCATGACGCGTCATTCAGTAAATAATGAGACTTTTAATGTAAAGTTGCTTTAAAAGTTGCATCAAAAGTCCATTAAAAGTGTCAACTTTGCGTTAAAGTGTCACTACTTACCCAGTAATTCAAAGCTGGCCCTTTTAATGTGATTTTTAAAGCTTTAAAAGTCACATTATTTACCAAATGACACTTCATGACACCAGTCATAAACATTCATAAAGACTTCTTTATGTTTGTAACATGAAGGAGTTGATTGAGGGAGACTCCTTCATGTGTTATATAAAGTTTATGACTTGAAGTTGTTTGAGAAAGGGGTGGGATATTCACAAATGAGCGTCTCTCCATCTTTCTTTCAGAAGTGATGTCACTTCCTCCTGATAGATGCTAACCTCTCGGCTCAGTGAAGTTAAACCGTTTTTGCTCCTCTGAGGACAAAATGACACCAGGTAGCATTGCATGGGCATGTTTTATATTTTGGACCGCAGGTAAAGTCAGTGCAGTTTCTCTTATTGTAATTAATAATTAATAATAAACCATTGTGAATTATGATTTTTTTCTTTCTTTGTGGTTTTTCCAGGTGTATGTGAGTGCGTTCTGATCACTCAGTGGCCCAGAGACATCATCAGTAACTCAAGCGCAGAAATGCACTGCTACCAGAACGACACCGACTATGAATATCTGTACTGGTACCGACAGCTTAGCGGAGGACAGATTCAGCTCATTGTGTATTTGCTAGCTGGCAACGCCAACTATGAGCCAGACTTTAAATCCGGCTTCAAAGCAGAGCGCTCGCACACGAAGCAGTGGTCTCTGACTGTCTCCAGCGTTCAGCAGAAAGACGAGGCTGTGTATCTGTGTGCTGCCAGTCACACAGTGCAGCAGCAGACCTGGAGACTGTGACAAAAACACACAGCAGAGAGGAGGATGGCTGCTTCCTCACCTGCCGCCCTCAGAATTATGATCAGAGAGATTTCTAAGCTCAGCAACAAGAACATCGTTATCGCTTAAATTCAAGAATGTGGGGCCCTGTATGCTAAAATAAAATATATTTTGCTATTGCTATTACAGTAAACTATCAGTCAATCAATCAAGATTATTTGTATAGCAGTTCAAAGTGCTTTAAATCATAAAAACACAAAAACATAGAAGAAACTTAATCTGTACTGGATATGAACTGATTGATGATGGCAGGTTTAATACATTCTGTGGCCAATAACTCTGTGTTGTTACCCTAATAAAAAATACTTTGACTTTAATCATTTTCAAATACTTGAATATTTTTTACACACATAAAAATCCCAAAATATTACGACAACTCACCCGATATGGCCGTATTAATAAAAAATAGAAATAATAAATAAGTAGAAATAGCTCTTTCTAAAGGGGTATTTGCCTAAATTTTAATCAAAACAATTTAGGACATGCTACCAAAAAAAAAATTATTGAATAAACATTATTAATGTCAGAATTGAACCAATATTGAAAACTGAAGCAAATCTACTTTGTATATATTCAACTAATTTTAATTTCTAGTACTTGATTCGCTTCAAAATGATTTTACAGTAAAAATCTAGAAACGAAATGGAAATCCGCAACATGCTGTTACCCAATTCATTTCTTCCTAAATCGATTTTGTCTCATTAATTTCACAACAATCAGACGCAGAGGCGTGTGACGAAGCTGTCCTGTGCTCATGTTACCAGCAGGTGGAGCCACAGCACATGACATCCTGACATGCAGCCTCCTCCAATCGGGTGTGTTCATGATTTGACCAGGTTGCTGTTCCTCCTGTTCCTCCCGACGGAGTCTCTTCTCTTCACCTCATTGCTTCACAATGTCTTCACCTACACAGACCTTCGGCTTCCTCCTCCTCTGGTTCTGGTTCTCAAGTAAGATTTCAAATCCAAGTTGACATTTATTGCAAATACTGACCTGACCTTCTGTTGTTTTTTCCTACAGATCAGGTAAGCGCTGCAAATTTTCGCCAGTCTTCTCCTCTCATAGTTAATGAGAGCAGTGAGGTAGAAATCACCTGCAGCCATGACGATAGCTCTCTTATAGTGATGCTCTGGTATCAGAATAAAAAGGACACAAACTCGATGACCCTCATCGGATACGGATATGAAACCTCCCAAAACTACGAGGGTGAATTTGAAAAGGAATACAAGCTGACAAGAAAAAACACAGTCGAAGGAGCCTTGAAGATACTCAAAGCAGATCCGTCCCACTCAGCTGTGTATTTCTGCGCTGCCAGCACACAGTGATGTGGTTTATTGGAACTCCCTCACTAAAAACCCTGATACATTTTCCTCCTGTGCAGGAGGCAGAGACGTTCACGCTTCTAAAAGTCGCATCTTTTTACAGATCCTGACGGGAGCAGCGGCAAAAGCCTGCAGGATGCCGAGGATGATGATCCTGTTTCTCCTCATCTTGCCTCAGTGTAGGTTATGATGCATTCAAAATGTAAAGAAATTTCCATTTTACTTTTTTTATTATTATTATTTTTAAGTGTACTCATCTGTACGGAAGATGATTAGGGTCACAGGAGAGAAAAAAATAATTCTGATTAATCTCAAAATTCTGAGATTAAAGTCAGAATTCTGACTTCTTAAAATCAGAATTCAGATTTTAAAATAAGAATTGTTATTTTAAAGTTAGAATTCTGACATTTTCTAAGAATTTTGAGAAAAAAGTCAGAATTCTGTGAAAAAAATCTGAATTTTGAGGAAAAAAAATCAGAAATCTCAGATGAAAATCAGAATTCTGACTATAATATAAGAATTCTGAGATTAAAGCAAGAATTCTGAGGAAAAAAAAAAAGTCAAAATTCTGACATTTTCCAGTGACCCTAATCCTCTTCTGCACATTTGCCATCAGACCTAACAAACAATCCGTTTTCCCCACAGTTCAAGCTAAGAGTGTACAATTTCAACCAACTGATCCAAAAGTAGTCAACATGGCGGACGATGTGGATTTCCACTGCCGTCACAACGACAGCGGTCTAAATGTTATGCTCTGGTACCAGCAAACAGACACCGGTGCTATAGAGCTGATAGGATACAGCTACATCGGGAGTGAAGCGGTCTATGAGAAAGCCTTTGAAAGCAGGTTCAAGATTACAAGAAAAGACACCCAGACAGGAGGCTTGAACATCGACGGAGCCTCTGCCTCAGACTCTGCCGTGTATTTCTGCGCTGGCAGTACACAGTGATGTGGTTTAATGAAACCTCATGACTAAAAGTCCTACCATTTCATTCTGATGCGTTTAGAAAAGCTTCAAGTTGGGTTGCCTTTGTCTAATGAGAACCGATTTCTATGAAATCACTCGACTGCATTTGTGATTTTAGTCGTTTTTCCTTATATGTTCTTTTTGTTTCATCATTTTGCTTTTATTGTAACATAATAGTTGATGTTCTTAAAGCACTTTGACTGCCTGGTGACGGCCAAACTCAAATGACTGCCATGTTGAATTTACTGACATTTTTGCAAAGATTAGCAGTGTGAAAATCAACCCACCTGTTAAAGATAGGATCTTTAATTCAAAGGATCTTGACATTTGTACCATTTCAAAGAAATGCTATTTTCTAAACATGGACACTAGTGTCTTTTTGAACATGCTACTATTAACTGTGTTTCCATTTAAATATGCACAAAACTTTGTCAATATTTCACTAATGTAAAAAAAAAAACACAATTTACCAACTGCGGTGTTTCCAATAAATAAGAAGCAAAAATAAAATCACACATAAAGAGGTTTGTTCACGCCACGACCCCCAAACCACTACTTGACCTCTTTCTTCTCCATCGTTTGCGCCAGTGACAACATTTGGTTGCTGATCATGTGACTCACATGATGTGAATATTTTTCTTTTATGAAATAAACCAATTTTAATTCGTGGGGGGAGGGGGGGGGGCGGACCCGCATCTCATCCCAGCGCCAAAGCCTTCTTTCAGAAAACGAGTGTTTCCCAAACTGCCATGTTTCCATTGAATGAACTTATTTTCGATTTTCCACACAGCAACTGATTTATGTTTTCACATAAAGTCACATCGGCCTGAATAGCTTTTTTCCCCCTTTAACAAATCAAATTAACATTCAAAAACTGCATGTATTTGGGGAGTTTATCTTTGGTTGGTGTGAATTATTGTTTGATGGTCTGACAGGAAACAAAAACAGAAATCTGCATCAGATTTCACATCATGGTAAACTACAGACCACCTTAGGTACACATGCATTCTCAGTGCTGTTAATCTAAGCGGATTAACAACCGGATTGTTAATCCAATTCCTGGACTAATAATAAATAAATTGTTAATTGTGACTCGACTTGAGACACTGACTGGCGACATGTGATCATGTGACCTCCTCCTCCTCCTCCTCCTCCTCCTCTTCCTCCTCCTCTTTCTTCTTCTCCTTCCTGTGAACAGAGCGGCTCTTCCTCACTCAGCCCAGCGCTCCTCCTCAGACAACATGCTGATCACAGCTTTTCATCTGCTTCTGCTTTTACACTTAGGCGAGTCCAGCAACACCGACAGAAACCGCTCATGTTCAGGCAGCCACAACGTAGACGTGCATTTGACCTACATTTCACCGTAATGATTAAAACTCAATGTTTCATCTTTCTCAGGTCTCACTGTCGAAGTCCTCCAGCCTGCGGATGTCATTTCTATTGAAGGAGACAAGGTGACGTTTGAGTGTAAGCTGGGCCAGCGTTTCATGAGTTATCACACCATGTTCTGGTACCATCAGAAGCACCGTGGAGCTCAGATCGAGTTCATCCTCAAAGAGTTCCAGACAGATGTTGGACGCTTCCGGTCGTCTGTCGATCATGACAAAAACAGCTTCACTCTTGGCATATCCGGGCTGCTTGTGAACGACAGCAGCACCTACTACTGCGCTGCCAGTCACAGTGATGCAGACAAACCACAGCCTCGTACAAATAGCAGGTCGTGTCCCAGATGTGTAAGAAAGAGCTGCGGCTGGTTTGGTTAGCAGAGTCTTTGCGCTTTAGCTGATCCACAGCACAATGACTTCTTCTTCTGCTCAAACACATGGCACTCCAGTTTGTTTACTTTTAGCTTCAGTTTTAAGGGAAACTCACTTTAGAAAAAAAATCCTTTAAAAAAAAACATTTTAGTCAAAAATGTAATTATATACTGTTGAGGGATTCAGGAATACAACAGTCACTAGAATTTCAATGGTTCCTCAGATCCTAATGGACTGAAGTCCTGCAGATCCCTGAAAAGACGACAAGTAAAGGACAAAAAACACAAATATTGATGGATAAAACGTTAAGATTAAGATGTGACAAATAAAAGGTGTGACTTAAAACAAAATGAATCCATAACCGGATGAACTTTAAAACAAAACATAAGGAAAAAGTCTGGATAACAGAATATTTTTTTTACAGTTTACAGTTTTTTCAGTATCCATCTAGACTCGCAAATGATTTTAATGGTTTTCTATAAGAGTAAAGTGTTTTATTGTGAGTTTATGTGACACAACAACACAAAGTAGTGCATAATGTAAAAGAAGAAAAATACCAGATGGTTTGGTTCTGTGACAGATTAAAGCGTATGTCTGATAAATGACAGAGCTCACTAAATATAAGCTTCATAAATTATCAACTTTTTTTATTATTCCAACCTCAAACCAATTAGTTAATGCATTAATTCTTCAGCATCACTTTTGAACTGGATGTCATTAAGCTGGGTGATGTTGAGGATGTTTAATTGTAATCTATGAAAACTCAACTTGACACACTGACTGGTGACATGTGATCATGTGACCTCTTCCTCTTCCTCCTCATCCTCGTCCTTCTCCTCCTCCTCCTCCTTCTCCTCCTTCCTGTGAACAGAGCGGCTCTTCCTCACTCAGCCCAGCGCTCCTCCTCAGACAACATGCTGATCACAGCTTTTCATCTGCTTCTGCTTTTACACTTAGGCGAGTCCAGCAACACCGACAGAAACCGCTCATGTTCAGGCAGCCACAACGTAGACGTGCATTTGACCTACATTTCACTGTAATGATTAAAACTTAATATTTCATCTTTCTCAGGTCTCAGTGCTGAAATCCTCCAGCCTGCGGATGTCATTTCTAACCGAGGAGACAACGTGACGTTTGAGTGCTTGTTGGGAAAACAGTTCATGGCTCATTTAACCATGTGCTGGTATCAACAGAAGCACCGTGGAGCTCAGATCGAGTTCATCCTCAGAAAGAACCAGACGAATGCCGGACGCTTCCAGTTGTTTATCGATCACGAAGAAAACAGCTTCACTCTTCGCATATTTGGGCTGCTTGTGAGCGACAGCAGCACCTACTACTGCGCTGCCCGTCACAGTGGTGGAGACAAACCACAACCTCGTACAAATAGCATATCAGAGGAGCGCAGGAAGGAGCTTTGATAGCTTTGGTTTGGTCTTTGAGATACGCAGAGACTGTCCACTTTCATGATATGGACATGAAGTTTTATCACAATATTCTGAGGTAATATTGTTACAACAATAAAAGTGATAAGAACTATTCATGACTCTTTTCAGGTAACTATGACTATGACTGTGACCTAATGACAGCAATCATAGCCACACTAACAATGCTCTTACTACTAATATTCCCATTTGCACTTTTTTAGGACGCCACTCGAAGCAGTGGGATTGGTATCACTAAAACACATGCAGTACCTAGATCTAATCATATTTTCAAATTTATTGATATTCAAAATCTTACTGTGGTAAGAAATTTATTATGATAAATCATAAACGATGCGATAAAAGCCCACCCCTAAAAACACAGGGGAAAATTGTTTATATGACAAACAATTGATGCAGAGTGAAGGAAATAATTAGTTCCTCTGCTCTAAATGGGCCTCCAGTTTTTACTTCTAACTTCAACTTAACCGTCTCATGGTTTTAAGATTCGGTGTCCACTGGACTGTGTGCAATCCGACGGGGTCGCATTGACCCCACTTGCACTTTTAAGACTTTTTTTAGTGTGTGGTTTCAGGAACTGACAGTCTGACGGTACACTGTTTAGAGACAGATTTTTGTCAATTACACTGTTCACTGGGCTGTGGTTGCCACTAAAACATGTATCATCATGTACTTTCTTCTTTGCACCAGTGGTGCAACTACACATTATTCAGGTGGATGCAAAAACATAAATCGGCGCCCTCCCCCCATCCCTCTCTCCACCGAAGGAAGGTTGAAGGAGCGTGAAAAACATACGCTCGCTCTTACCCCTCCCAAGACGACGTTACGTGAAAGGTAAACCTACATTTACCTCATAACGTGCGTGAGGTGAAGGAGCGTAAGGCACGCTGAAGTGTATGGGAAAACATAATCGGTGCGCCGCCCCCTCCAGACGGGGTTTTGACGCCCCCTCTGGTGCTGCGTCCCTATGCGTTGCATACCCACTTTTTGCGCCACTGCTTTACACAGAAGTTAAAGTTATTATTCTACATGCAGAAGATGATTGCTGCTGTGGTTTCTCTTTTTCCCCTCTTTTTCTGCAGGTTTAGCGGCAGACTTTTAGAGTTGACATGTTTTCTCGCTGTGCTTCTTTCTCTCCTCTACTCCCATCTTCTTTCCTTTTAAACAATTTCCCCAACTTTCTCCCTTTCTTCATGTCTCTGTCCATTAAAATTGAAATAAACCCAAAGAAAACTCTAAGTTTCATTTATATGTCAAGTGGCGCATCGTGGCTAAAGCTGTAATGCTCCACTTGTGAAAGAAAATCTGTCGGGCCTCAACCTGACAACCAGTCTGAGTGCCGCACTGCTGGACAGAACATAAAACAACTAAAATAACATTAAAAAAAATAAACCAGAATATTATTGAAAAGTTCATTTATTTAATCTGACAACCAAAACTCATCAGGACTTATATTCTACTTTATTGAACACAACTGATTGAAATTGATCAGCACAGCTGTCTAGTGATATTACTTGTCAGAAAAATGTCTATAAGTCTATTCAATACATATTTTAAGCTTGAATGTTCTCAGCAGCAGTTCCCTTAAAGCTCAGACCCATCTGACGTGGAGGTGCAGTTCCCTCAGGCTCCACTAGGAGACGTTTGCTGCAAAGAAAAGACTGAGCGAGTCGAGATATTTTGAGAAGCTCCAGAAGCTGCAGGCTGAGCTGTTCAGCTCTGCTGCAGACATTATTTGAAATTCACCATGACGACAATGATAATAGTTCTGATTATCTTGTGTACGTTTTTCTTTAATCAATTTTATCGACTCCTGTAGCATTCACCACATGCACCACATGTTTTTATGACATTTTTCTCTCTCGTGTTGCAGCTTCCTCGGTCTGCGTTGAAATCCTTCAACCGCCTTTCGCCATCAGCCGCGAAAACGACCCGTCCGTCACGCTGACGTGCGAGCAGGACGACGACCAGCACTACTACATGTACTGGTACAGACGGAGGAGCTCAGGCGGGCTGCAGCTGGTGGCGCTCTCTCACGGTAAAGACACGTGGGACGTGGAACCTCCTTTCAACAAGTCCAGGTTCGCAATGCGGCGACCCTCCGTCCTGAACTCCGCCCTGCAGATCCAGCGCCCTGGGGCGGCGGACTCAGCCGTGTATTATTGCGCGTCGAGAAGAGCACAGCGACTCAGAAAGCCTCCGCTGCTCAACAACAACCCGGAGAGATCACAGGAGGGAGGGAGGGAAAAAGGAAGATTGGTGGAAGGAAAAACTCCAGCAGATGCCCAGGATGCAGTAAAAACAAGAAACGAACATTTAATGTGAAAACTAATTAACACATTGTGTTTTTTAGCAGTAGAAGACTATACATTTATGTTGGTATTTCCTTTGCATTCAGCTCTGAAACACCACAAAGCTGATCTGCTCTGATTAGGCTGCAGGTGTTTGCAGGGTTAGCCACACAGAAATACTGACTTATATACTGTCATCAGTTTCCCTGTAAATGTTTCACCTTTAAATGCTGTTTCATTTTTGGATTTCCTGCCGATTATATCATGTTTAAGATGTGATCACACACTGACCTCTAGAGGGCTCACGGGAGATTACACTTACATGGAGCAGTGTAACAAAAAATGCATCTGTCATGCATATATATATATATATA